ATATATATATATATATATATATATATATATATATCATATTTACTGCTGTAGCTGGATTTATGTTTAAGAGCGATAAAATCCAAATTATACCGCATTTTTTACTCTAGTCTGTCAACGTTAAAAAATCAAGATTCATTTCTCGAGACATTAGTTTCAGCAACCTCTTTTTCCCTTTGCAAAATACTGTTCTCTTGAACATAATTTCGAAACGTCCTATAGCGAGCGAACTCTATGGAGCAGAGTTCTTGTTGAGAAACTGATGATTATTATGATTATAATCACTCAGCCAGTGATTAAGTTTCCTAACTTTCATAAAAACCCTGAAGATTCATTACAGCTTTCACAGACGTTGACCACAGAGTCTTATCTTGAGCCACACTGTTCCAGTTCGTGTCCTTATCCCATATTGTCATAAGATTCATTTTAATATTATCCATCCAATTACGCCTAGGGCTGGATCTTACAGATGGTCTCTTCCCATCCGGTTTTCTGATTATTTTTCTTGTGTATATATTTCTCATCCCTTCAGTGCGTGCTACATGCCTCGTACACTGCTCCCCCTTTATTTAATCATCCCAACTATACTTCGTCCTTCTCGTATGTGAAGCAGTAATGGATTGTGGAGCTACAGAGCAAGTAAGTAATACTAATAATTGGTGAACAATACAAATTGTGAAGTTCCTCTAGGAGACAGAAAGACAACAATGCTTTCTTAGTTCCATCGTAGCAAATATTCGCTCGGAACATTCTGCTTAAAACACGTATTTAATTTACATTTACATCGACATAAAGTATACTGTTAATTGACCTACAATGAATAACCCCCCCCCCCACATCAAAATTTCCATTTCGTCTGCAGGAGAAATACACAGTTGTGCTGCTTTCAAATTTTATTTTACTTTTAGGAAGTGCAGAACGATACCATAACGCATTCATTTTAACGACCATGTATAAATTACAGATTCCACGGCTTATTTACAAGATAATAATCTCTGTTTGGTCCCGTGTTTGGAAGATAGAGAAATACGTTGTGACCAGCGCAATATATTCAACAATTTCTGTAATGACACGTGAATTATATGTTCATTATATTTCATACTTATGATTCATCAACTTGGAAAGCTGCAATAAGAAAATTATGAATTTTTAAAGTAGTAAATATTAGTCACAGAGTTCTTTAAGAAAACATCAACACCATACATATTGTGACGTAGGTTGGTACGCCCTTTATTGTCAACCTTGATTTATTCACGTTAAATTAAATCAGCTACAGATGTCTGCACTTACAGACGACTCACCAGTATAACAACAGTATCTGAGTCTCTGTTCTCTGCTCTCGCACGCACATTTCTCACTCGCACTGTCCTTCGAGCCTATCTAGTCCCCGAGCTCGGCGCTGTTTCTCTCACGAAGGACACAACAAACGATTCCCCGCTTCATGTGACACCCCATCCTGCTTATGCAGCTCGTATAGCTCGCTTGTTATCGCTTACGTCGGACATTACCGCTCTTTGGCTCCACTCCGCTGTCCACAACAGCTTATCGCTTGCCACTCTCTTCGCACTCGGGCAGGCGACATTTTTATAATCGCCGGCCCAGCTGTAGAAGCTTCCAGACCAGGAAGCCTGGAAGGTTCGCTTCCTGGAAGTTACGACTACTAGAAGGTTTGCCTTCTAGTAATTTCTTGTAGCTTCTACCATACCTCGGGAGGGTAATACGGCGTGTAGAACATTCGGTCCTCGTCCGCTCGCCAGGGAGGGGAGTCAAGCGCCCTTCCCCTCCAGCGCCAGCCATCGGGACTTATGACTACGACACGTCACAATATTTTAAATGCTAAACGAAGCGAAAAAGTCACAGAATATGAAAATGTTCATTTTAACAGCGTGTTCCGTAAAACGTATTTCAAATTTTAATCGTCCACCTGCTTCTTTATGCTCATAAGAAACGAATCTTCTAAGCATTAAATTGGATTGAAGGAATGGATGATAACATAGTTTGTATTTTTATCGTGTCGTGTAATACCTACTGGGAAATAAAACTTATCATCGTGGGTTTGGAAAGTTTTAACAAAAGGTACCCATAAATATTTTAAATGAACCCTGAAAGAGCGCGCAGTTGATGAGGCATATCTGGGTATTGTTGGTTTGTTGGTGCACAGCTTATTCCTTGTAAACCTACAAACCAAAATTTGATATGGTCGTTTGGCATTCACTGCATTGTTACCCATCCTGTTTGTTACAGCTAAACCCTCAGCACGCAATTCCAACAATAGACGACAATGGGCTTGGAATTGGCGAAAGGTGAGAAGCCTCTACAGTTTATTAAGACGTGTTCTCACACTGGCACTGGGGTAGGTTTTACCCCGAACCCCTGACATCATCACTGATGCCTCATTCACCGCCACGCCAGCCGTGAGTTAACAGCCGGCCATAATGGCACAATCTCGAGTCGTCAAGGTTTGGATACTTCGCTGTTCCCATTAAAAGAAACTCTCTTTCAAGGCGTTCGCATCTGTGCATGTAACTCCAGAACGGATTTTCGTCAAACTTGGTGTGGACGTTAAGCCATTGGTGTTTACTCCAAACTTTTCTCATTTTGTGAAATCGGTAATGCAAACGTGGTGGATGGCCGAACTTTCAAGGTCGGAGAATGATCTTCCGTTATAACGTCATTAGCCTATCCATGTTCCTCCGCGAAGATATAATCGTCTCTCATGACGTCAGCGCTGGACTACAAATAAAACTTCATTTATTCTGCACGAAAATAAATATTGAATTTCTCCCTGCCAAATGTCGCAAGAATTAAGAAATAAAAAGTAGTAATGTTTATTACTAGGGTCACCTGCCTCCTATTTCTGTGGTCATCAAGGTCTGAACAGTGTCCTTTCAGTATGTGTTCTAAAAAAAAGTCAAATCCTTGAGACGAACTAGAATTGTCACTTGAAATAATTGTAACTTATTCAACTTTACTGTAAGCCGATAAAGTCAAACTAAAACGTCGTAGCGAACTAAACCCCATCAACTGTATCATGAATTAGGTACTTTGTGTACCTCGGACGTTGAGGACCGACGTAAACAACTTCTTAAGGACATGTCTGAAGTTCGGTGGCTGTTAGATTCTTTACTGTAGAAGACTTTGTTTACTGTTATAGAGTATATTGAACTCAGTTCGTAGTAATAAATCAGCATGTCCTCGCCTTATTCCTACTGCATTGATTTTAAAGTTACAACGCTCAGACAGAAAATTACTGGAGACATAAAGAAACATAAAGGCTTCAAAGTAAATATTAACTAAACAGAATCCGTTTTAATGAGATCTGCACGTTGCCTCGTGATCTGGAGTATGATCGTGGCACCAGCAACAGTTATCTCTGAGCAGAAAAGATCTCCATGCGATAAACAATTCATGATACATAATTCACACGACGGACTCGTTACGCTACTTCGCTTCTGATCCGATGATCAGATCAATGGCTTCATGCTATTAACATCGAGTATAGAACAAATTAATCTGTGCACTTGTTTCTAGCGACATGTATTTATTATCGATATTGCTCTGTACAGTATTTTAATTTTCGATGGGTGTAAGTTCCGTGAATTTATTGCTGACAATTTCTTTCGATAAAAATCCTCAAAATTTCTGAAAATGTAACAAGCTTCACATTGGAATACTTGTATTTATATTTTTCAGGTGGTCTATAAAATGTTGGAATGATAAGTGAATAAAATCCTCTCGGGTTATGAGCAGTGTGAAATGGTACAGATTCGCCGACGTTTCAGGGACCATCTGTCCCCATCATCATACTGTGGAAGCCGGCCCTCCACTGCCATATCATGAAGGGGCGGAAACTGTACCGCAGAGGCAGGCTAGTTTTTACCATTTTACACGGCTTATATCTTTGATGGATTTTATCAATTCGGTTTGCCGTGAACATTTTACATCATACATGTTGAAATGTTAATTACACCCGTGCAAAATGAGCAATTTTTCAGTAGAACTGTTTGTACCAACTATTCGAATTTATAAAATTCCGTAATTCGAATTTACCAGTCGGTTTAGCGATTTAATCCATGCAAAAGAAAAGGCCCAATGTCATTACGTCAACGGTAAAGGTCGTGCGAGTGTTGGTGGCACCTAAATGCGCTAAGTGTAAGCCGAGAGAGGGGAGTTCAGTAGTAGTGGGGGTCGCAGCTGTCAGCTGCGGTGACGCACCGAACTATACACGGCTAGAGCTACACACCAACTGAAGCTGACACCTCTATAGCGCGTGCTTTGGACGGGTCCATGTCATACGACCAAAATCAGTCCTTTGCGCAAGTGCCAGCACTTCTCGCTCGGCCTCTACAGACAGCTTGCATAAATAAAAGCAATTCTTCACTAGAAGGCGCCTTATGCCAAGATGTTGTTTACATGTGAGTCTCTGAGAATCATGTGATTAATAATCACTGCAACGCAAGATTACACATTACAAGAGTGAGTCAGCACAGTGACAGGAATTATGTCCCCACATTTAACCTGACGACGAAGGATGATTAATCCTTCGAAACGTATCGATTTTTAATGTTCTGAGATGTTTAAGACTTGAAAAACAGACGATACATAAGTACAGAACAAAATGAGTAACTTTTATGCGTATTAGTAAGTTCCGTTGTACAAATTAACTTCTCCTTAACAACAATCACGATAATCTAATTGCAACAGTTATTAATAATCAGTGTTATTTAATGGCACTGTATTAACCTCCAAAGTGTGGTTGTATGCAATGCTAAATCAGAGGTTAAATTAATACCAAGGAAAACTGGTACAGCGAGGATGCACAGCTTTGCCACAGAGCACACTAAATCTGCTAGAATTTCAATCGTAATTCAGAGCTTCATTTTCCCAGCCGCGCCATCTTGGCCTACCTTGTGAACCAGTACGGCGAAGACGATGATGCTCTGTACCCAAAGGATCCGAAGAAGCGCGCCATTGTCGACCAGAGACTGTACTTCGACATTGGAACTCTTTACCAAGGTTTCTTAAATTATTATGTAAGTACTAATTAAAATTTTTAAAAAATTAAAGCTGTTCCACTATACACCATATACGTGCTTTGGGGGGGAGAGGTGCATAGCTGCTACTCATTCTCTACCTCGGCACTGGATGGGGGGTGAGTGGTCAGCATCACGCACCGGCCGCGCTTTACCCCCGGGAAAGGGCCCCGATACCCATTTTATAGGAGGCTGGGTGGGTCCCAAAGCTGGTCTGCACTCAGAGGCTAGAGGAAAACTCTCTGCCCCCATCGGGGATCGAAGTCCGGTCGTTGCTAGTTACTATAGTGACTGAGCTACCGAGGCTTGTACATTATATAAGTAGTACACAAAAGAAACACTAGTGTGTTGTGCCTCACTGATAAGTTGAACACCCACAATCCTGTCAGGTGAGATTTTAGTTTTTCACGGCGACGAATATAAAGATGGCCGTCTTCTATGACGTAGCACCGTGTAGCCTGGTAGATCCTGACCGATGCTGCAGGGCGATTACAAAGGCAGCAAGTTCCTTTGAAACGTCGGTCAATATCTACCCAACTACACAGCACAAGACAGGCATCTTCATATTCGTGTTGTTTGATTATGACAGAAGTTTCTTGGAAAGGCTGTCAATAAACTGAACGGGCAACGCGGTTGAATGGCAACCAAAGCTGATTTGTATTTGGGAGGTCGCGCGATCGTTTTCGGTCCAGAGGCTGCCTATAGTGAAACGCTCTTTTCTCGTAGTTCTAATTGCTCCGTCCAGGCAAATGCTGGAATAATTCCAGAAAATAGCCCACAACCGCTCCAGTTCAGTAAAATACGTAAGGGAAAATAATTAATCCGAGGGGACGGGAGAAGATGATTCTACTCAGTTGTTCTGTACGGGCTGAGGGGTCAGGAATATCTTGTCGGGACTGGAATATACAGAATATTAACTTGATGCCTCACTGCTGTGGTTTCCGACTCGAAACAAGAATGCTAACCCCTGAAAGCCAAGTATCACCCACCTGATTCAACAATCAAGATTGTTCCCTTTTTATATTTATGAGTGTCATACGATTCTCACTGTAAACAGCGAGTATTTCCTAAAACAGCACGAACCAATTGATATTTGTATTGGTGAAAAGTTGTTTTATTTTCGATGATTACAGAATTCTCAGATATCGTTTAGACGAGCTTTGGCTTCAAAGGGTTACAAAATTTTGTTTTAATAATGGTTCCACACTCTGTATTTTGGCAATGATGTCAATCTAATGTACGTTTAAAAACCAGTGATCTTGTTAGAATATATTAAAAATGTATGCATGTTGTATTTTCACAGCTGTTTCCCATCATTTCTACTGGAACTCACGGTGACAAAGCCGGCTTGGAGAAACTGGAAGGTGCATTCCATATCTTAGACGCTTTTCTGGAAAAGCAGAATTGGGTTGCAGGAAAGAACATCACTATTGCTGACTACTCCATCATTGCTTCAGTGTCAAGCATTGAAGTAAGGCAACTAATTTTTATGATTCCTTTGCACAAAGCATACATAATAATTTATGCGTAATTAGGAGTCGATGTCTACCTGTCCGCATATATTATGTCACAGCCGATTAAATATTTCGATTAAATTTGAAACTGACATCAGGGATACGATTTGTTAATGGCAGGCTGTCGTAATTAACAATTATATGTGATATTATTTTAAATGTGCACGCATTAATTGAAGATAAGGATATTAAGGTAAAACATAGATTTTATGGAGAATTAAAGCGTGTATTTGATCAGTTTGGTAGAGACCACATGAAAATTCTAATACGAGACTTCAATACCAAAATTGGTCGGGAGGATATTTTCAAAAGCGATGCAGAAACTGAGCACGAGTATCAGGTAAAGACTTGGAATAGTTTTGAAGTCCTAGAAAAAGCTGACGAGAATACAGAGTCTAGGGAAGTAGATGCCAATAAGGCCTGGGTAAATATACGGGATAACATGAAAATTTGAGCTAAGGAGATTGTTGGTTATCACAAAATTTCGCGAATAAAAACATGGTTTGGTGAAGAATGGTCCGTCTTGGTAAGACAGAGAAAGCAGGTCGGATTTCAACGGCTGCAGGCCCGTTCGCGAATAAACAGCGGCGAGCGCTTAAGTAACAAAGGATCGGACTGGTTACCAAGCAGGGCCTGAGGATGGCAGCAGAGGTTGATCTCGAAACGTTGTCAGAAGATAAGGTTAATTCACCGTTCGGACACCTGACGCGGCTTGTAACCCGTGAGTCTTTCCTCAACTGCTGTCGCTGTGAAAACTTCACTTTATACAAGGAAAGATATGTCAGTGATAGTCGCAAAAACCAGCAGAACTCCGAGGAATAAGAAGACGGAGCATCTCAAAGATCAGACAGAGGAGCTGGAAACTAACAGCATAAACCAAAGCTTTAGAGAGTTGTTTAGAGGCATAAATGAAAATAAGAAAGGATAAAAATCTAGGACACATTTGCTCAAGGATTCACTTGTTTTCATTGACAGATGGAAAGATTACTTTATGAAGTTACTAAATGCTCACGTAGCTGATTAATTTAAGGATGCTGGAGTACATACAGCAGAGCCCTTCATTCCGGACCCGTGTCTTAATGAAGGTGAAGTTGCCATTGGGAAATTCAAACGTTATAAATCCCCAGGTATCAACTCAGTTCTAGTGGAACTAATCCATACCGGTGGTAGGACAGTGCACTTAGAGATACACAAGCTTACAGTATCAATTTGGAACCAGGAAGAACTGCCACAACGTTGGAAAGAATCGATTGTTGTCCCAGTCCATAAAACAGGGAAAAAAACAGTGCGGTAAGTTCCGAAGTATCTCTCTTTTGTCAAAGTCATACAGAATTTTATAGAATATTCTTCTGGCACTTTTAAGCGCATGTATGAATGAAACTATCGGGAACGATCAACGTGGATTCCGCCATAATAGGTCAACTATTGATAGGACCTTTTGCATTCGACAAATGTTAGAGATATAATGTGTCAGTACGCCAACTATTTGTGGACTTCAGGAAGGTGTATGATTCAGTCAGAAGAGAAGTACTTATGGCATTTTTATTGAGTTTGAAGTATCAAAGAAATTTCTTAGGTTAATTAAGATGTGTGTGGACGAGGTATCTGCCGATCACAGCGGCCACGCGATCTCAGGAGTGGGCCTTGTGCGCTTTGACACTGGGACCGTGGATTCGCTTCTCACTCAAGGTTTGTCAAAGAATAGCCCACTGTCTTTATGGAACCTTAATGTTCATCACCGTTTTCACAATAGCCCTCCGCCGGACACTATCCTGAGCCAGCTGCATCCAGTTCGCTCCAACGATTCCTCTCCCCCTAAGGTCCATCTTAACGTTATCCTCCCACCTACGCCTAAGTCTTCCCTTCAGGCCTCTCAACCAGTACCCTGTAAACACCAGTACACTCCCAATGCGTGCCGCATGTCCTGCCGACCTTATCCTCTTCGATTTAATCACCCTAACAACATCAGGTGAGGAGTACAGGCCGTGAAGCTCATAATTTTGCAATTTTCTCCGTGATCCGTCTTACTCCCTTTTACGTATTCCTCAGCACTCCGTTGTCAAAGACCATCAATCTATGTTCCTCCCTTAAAGTGAGACACCAAGTTTCACGCCCATACAGCACAACTGGCAAAATTACATTTTTGTACATTTTAATCTTTACATTTTTTGATTTGAGACTGGAGGACAAAGGACTTTGGACTGATTTATAGCAAGCATTCCCTTAATTTAATCTGCTCTTGATTTCGTCATGAATGTCATTTTGGCTTGTTAGTGTCTTCCCAAAATATTTGAATTTTTTCACATTTTCGAACAATTCACTAGCTATCCTTATACTCTGGTCCTGTCCTGGATTCTGATGCCGAGACATTATCATATACGAGGGTCGCTCATTAAGTAATTCCCCACATTTTTTTCCTCAGAACATATTTATTCAAGATGGCTCAAATTTAGTGACAATATAAATCAATGTTTCCTTTACACATACTATTTTTCCACATAGTCCCCATCAACTTGTACGGTTTTACGCCAGCGTGGAACAAGTGCATGCATGCCTTGCCGGTACCAGCTCTTGTCCTGTCCCCGTAGCCATGTCCTCACTGCTTGAATCACGCTCTCGTCATCTTCAAATCTTGTTCCGCGGATAGCATCTTTAAGGGGCCCAAAGAGATGGAAGTCGGAGGGTGCCAGATCTGGACTGTAGGGTGGATGGGGTAGCACCGTCCAACCCAATTTGGTGATTTCTTCCCGGGTTCTCAGACTTGTGTGAGGGCGTGCATTGTCGTGCAGGAGCAAAATTTCTGCTGGATGCTTGTGAGGCCGAACTCGTCGAAAAAGCTTCTTGAGGGTTTTCAGGGTCCTGATGTACGCGTCTGAATTGATGGTCGCACCTCTTGGCATCACATCCACAAGAATGACCCCATCACTGTCCCAAAAGACAGTCATCATGACTTTTCCGGCGGAGGGAGTTGTCTTGAATTTCTTCTTTCTCGGTGATTGAGGATGATGCCACTCCATTGACTGCCTTTTTGTCTCTGGCTCAAAGTGGTGTATCCAGGTTTCGTCACCTGTAATGATCCGGGACAGAAAGACCTCTCCCTCAGCATCAAAACGCTCCAACAATTCAAGACAAACGTCCTTACTAGCCCTTAGGAGTGTTTCTGTTTTCGCTTTCAGAGTATTTATATTATCACCCAACAGATTAATGTTATCAGCATAGGCCGAAAGCTGATGTGCCCATTCAATTCCAAACAGTCCTGATATCCTTGAATTTTCATGGTGGCAACTTCTAAGGCAAAACTTAAAAGCAGCGGCGATAAAGTATCTCCCTGTTTCAGGCTATATACATATGTTTACCTACACGAATTTTGCCAGAGGTTTCACTTAAACACGTTTTAATTGACTTGACTAGATTCTTAGGTATACCAAATTTAAGCAAATTATTGTAAAGAGCTTCTGTTTCAACCGAGTCACAGGCTTTCTTGGAGTGTATAAATAGTTGATGGACTGTCCCATTATACTCACAATTTTTCTCCAGTATTTGGAGAATCTAGAAAATTCGATCAGATGTAGATTTATTACGATGATCCCCAATAATGTCATTGGCATATGGAGTCAACCTCACCAGAAGAATGTTGGATAACAAATTTTGTAGGCAGATGATACGAGGGAGGAGATTCCTCAATAATTAGTGCAATGTCTTCTTATGAATTAGTACAATAACAGATTCCTTCCACTGCTGTGGAATTTCGTCCTTATTCCATACAGAGCAAATAAGTTTGTGTATCTCGGAACCCAAAGATTCGTCTTGTGATTTGGTCAGCTCGGCCGGAATCTGAATTTATCCTTTTTACAATTCTCAATAGTAGTCTCTACTTCGATGAGGCTAGGTTCTGGCACTAATGGCTCAGCCGTATCTGTATCTATCTGCGAAAGTATCATGAAACCCATGAACATTTAACATTTGATTAAAGAAAATTTTCCACCTATTTAAAATCCTGTGGGGATCTGCGAGGAGTTGACTATTCTTTGTTAGCTGTTGCAGTCATATAAATGAAACCCACAATCCGAGGTAAAAGTATTATTAATACTGTTAAAACAAAATGCTGTTTCATTTCCAGGGCTTTGGATTTGACGTCAACAAATATTCCAACGTTGCCAAATGGTACACAAGAGCCCAGAAGACTATAGATGGCTATAAGGAAATTAACGAAGAAGGTGTAATACAACTCAAGCAGTTCTTTAAGAAATTTCAGAAATGAAAATTACTCATTGAAAATATGCTGACATTTTGTGTTATTACAACATAAAATAATATCTGTTACTGTGAATTAAAACTGTATTCTGCAAAACCTGTCTAAACTAATACGTTCGTGGTATTCAATCCAGAGTAAAGCAAATGTCTGGGGCAACGTTTGAGCCTTTTCAGTCCACGTACCAATTTTTAATAGGGACTTAATTTGTATTTGAAACCAAGAGTAATCGTGTATTGTACAAACGACAAGATATTCATACAAAGACTCTTTCGTTTTATAAACAGACTTTCAAATTTAAACTGTGAAATATTTTGGATAATTTTGGCTATAAATCGAATATACTTCATGTAATTACCCCATGATAAGTCTACGTGTACCCTATAGGGGTATCTGCACCACAGATTCAGAACCACTGGTCTGCGGATTGCCTTGAATGTTATTGAGGATTTAATAACTACTTATTTTCGTCGCACGCAATGTTTGTTTTTCTCTCGTAGTTACGCTATAATTTTATAGAATGACACGATATGATGGCAGAAAATATCGGTATTTACACTGCTTGTTGATGACTTCGTCTGATAAATATCAAGATACATAAAATATCCGACTATGACAGCCGTGAAACTTATCTATTACTTGTCTCTGAATTTTCATTGTGTTTTCTTAATTACAAACATACTGACAATTCAGACGTAATATTTTGTACAGATGTTTGAAATTCACTCTACATGAAATTTTGCTGTATAATTGAAACAAGCTAATTTCATGCATTTATATTTTATGTCAGTTCCCATATTTACGTAGAATAACAAGAGACAAAGAGAGCTAAAATAAATATTGCTTAGTTTCTCCAGGGAACCATTCCCACTACAACCACCTTAAGTTGAATAGTTTGTACTGTGGTCCATTATATTTCGATTTGTTGTTTATTCGACGAATACAAAAGATATGCACATTTCGCCTATTCCACTGGAATACAAATTTATGTTCAGTAATTCAAGAATACTATTAATCGTACTACATATTTCTCATTCTCCGTTAAATGCACTTTTTTCCTTAAAAGGTTTCTCGTTTCAGCTCCAAATGTTCTATCAATTTTTGGCGCACTGACATACAAACTTCAGAGTCGCCGCATTGAATTCTGACACTCGGGCGTCGAACTTTATAGGAGTTGTCACTTTAATCTCGCTTTGTACATTCTAACAGTCTCTTTATCCCCCCCAACAGATATCTGCAGTCTTTGTAATCGTTGACCGCAAAAGAATAATAGCACCTCTATTCACAAACATAAATATACGAGGTGCGATCGGAAAGTTTCAAGACTGTGTCAATAGAGGGCGAACCGGATGTAGTACGAGCTTCTGCCTTTAGGGGGTGCGGCCTACATTCATAGTGAATCAGTGTGCCAGCCGGCATCATCGAATTAGCATTTGTTTCTTAGTTACGGGTGTTTTGGTAGTGCATTACACCTCAAACACCATGGCCGTCATCCCGCACCCTCCTTATTCGCCGTGTGACTTCTTCCTCTTCCCAAAGATGAAAATTCAGCTAAAGGGAAGGAGATTTGAGACGATAGAAGAGATTCAGGCAGAATCGCAGATGGTGCTTGACAGGCTGACAAAGAAATATTTCCAGGGATGCTTCCAGGCTTGGCAGCGGCGCTGGGATCGTTGTGTTCACTCCCAGGGGAACTACTTCGAGGGTGATGGATGAATTTAATACCTGAGATAAGTGTACGGGTTTTTATACGCGCAGTCTGGAAACTTTCCGATCGCACCTCGTATTCCCCAGCGACAGTACTTCTTAACTCCCTGTCTCAGATCCTATTCAGCAACGATTATATCTGAATACGTTAAAGCTCCTCTTTTGAGTAAGGAACGGACAGATCACTCTTTAGCCTTTGCTCAAAGAGTGGACTGTACATTTCATTTGGTTCTCAGAATAAGTAACAGATGTCACTGCAGATAGTTAGCTCTGATACGGCGAGATCCTCTGACGAAAGCACCGAGTTTTAAAATTAGCACTACTTTCAGGTACCACTAAAGAAATTCTTATCGTTAGAGCTAAATATTGCGACAAAAATTATGTCGAACAAACTACTAATTACGTATCTTATATAAATAATCTATATAATATGACCGAATAATTAAATATCGTTTCCTTCTATGAAATGGCTAATACGTACTCTTACTTATATAATTTCATTTCAGTCAAACTGTTCCAAAACCGCGTCTTCGTTAAAAAGTCTAGGCCCACAGAGCCTCCTATTCAATTCTTTCATCTGGGGCACTATTGTGTTCAGGACGCGAAACTGACCAATCACCTCCATCTTGCCCGAGTGACTTTTACCTCCAGGCGCCCTTAACCCTTCGAGACGTGGTGCCTGGGCGTACAATACACTTCAATTTAGGATTCGATTTTTCTTAAATTGTCTGTTTTACCACCACAAAAATATTCTGTAATAATGCTGATGGTAGCTAACTGCGGAAAAATCAATAAGCAATTCATAAGTTAATGTTAAGAAATGTATTGTCAAGCATGTTTACGTGAGGCCTATTACAAATCTCGTTGGCAGATTAGACTTAGCGAATAGACAGTTTACTGCGTTTCAACGAAGTAGAAAGATTATTGAAGTATCTTAAGTTTGGTTCGAACTTTAATACCGGTTGTTTCAGAAAGCTAAGGATAGTCAAGAAAACCTCTATAAACGTTGTTCACAAATAGTATTGCCATCTGTCGCATGACGCATATAATTTTTAGTTATAAGGAACATTGCTAAAAAAAACTTTAAAAACTACCGGTATTTATAATTCTCTTACCACTGACTTAAACAAACTTGAAAGAATCTAGAAATTTTTTTGAAGTCAGCGGTGGTAAAAGCATTATAAATAACGGAAGTAATTAAATCTTCTTCAATAGGCTGGTGTAAAGCATCATAAGACTAAGTACAAAAATAATAGTCCATATCTTTATGGCATGAAACAATAGGCAATCGATATGATGATGGAAATAAAGCGAAATGTCAAAAAGAATACCAAGGTCTTTAATATAATCTGAACGCGGAATATCGGAGTTATAAAGGGCATAATTAAAATCATCAAACTACGACCTAAAGCTTTCACGGCGACTAACATCAGGTTCCTGGAGCCAAGGAAAGTCTTACGAATCAACATAAAAGTTATTCTAGAAAAGGTAATTACTAATTTTACCAGCATTAGACGTCATATGATTTGTACTGCACTAATTATGCACACGTGACCGTCAAATCAAGCAATCGTCAATCGAGATAATGCGGCGAATTTTTTTTTACATCAACAGCAAAGAGAAAAAGGTCGAAACACGTAATTTTACTACTTACGTAGTTACCGCATATTCTAAGTAACAAACTGTCCATAACAAAACATGACGATGACCGGGCAGGGCTTTGAAAGGCGACAAGAAAAAGTACAGCCAATTAGTTGGGGTGAAATACGTAACCAGTTAACATATCCACTGGACAAGCCGTAACTTTTAAGTTTATCGAAAGGTTTAAGTTTACATCGAAATAGATGGAATCACATTGTCCTCAAGAACACTCAGTGGGAGTAACAGTGTCAGAAAAGATCAATTTGTTGTAGTTGATGTTGTAAATCCACTCTGAATTATTATTATTATTATTATTTAGTGTTCTGTCTGACGACAGGTCCATATGAACAGGATCCTTCCATCCTTTTCTCGGACTGGGACCTGTTCATATACGTTCTTGGCAGATGATCCAGAAGCGGTTTGCCATTGCCTTCTTCTGTGTGTGAATGAAGTAATTGTTGGGATGCCACGGAGAAAAACTCCGTGTTGCCTAGATCACGGCCTTGCCCAAAACCCGAGACCCCAGGATTACAAGGCCAGCGTTCTAACCGCTAGACCACCGTGGCGGTTCCACTCTGAATACAAGTTAATAATAATAACAACAATAACAGCTTCGGAATAATTTAAAGTTTTCAGACAAAGAAAGAGGAGATTGTGAAAACACGACCAAAAAAATCGATTAGAAATAATATTTTTCCTTGTCACTTATATTTAAATCAGACGAATACAGTTAGCACGCAATATTCAACGGATAGATTTACAGACATGAGATATTTAAGGAAACCCGAACCGCTAAGAAACTGACAACTGATGTCCTATCGATTAGAATCGATGTCTGTTGGACATCCTCCACAAACACGTCGTCTGTAGAACAGCCTTGAAACGTGAGACAATCCGAGGAGAATTTTCGGAACAAGGCAGGGGAGAGGAATCCAGAAAACAAGTCGGCGAAAGACGAAAAAATAAAAATCAGATCAGCTGTTTACACAAGACAAAAATCAACTGAACAGGCAGACTACACGTACACTAAATAGATTCCAACAGAGTTCCAAAAAAAAAATCAAATATTATTTTACTTGGCCTTAAGGCACATTTGTGCTGTGTACTTAGAGGCCTTGCGACGAGGAGGGAGTCACGAGGTAGCAAAATACTCAAATTAACCTCGTTTTATTGCGTTTCGCAGATATTGCGTTTTTTATCAATTGAAGGTTTGTGGCAACCCTGCGTCGAGCAAGTCTATCGGCGCCAGTTTTCCAACAGCGTGTGTTCACTTCGTGTCTCTGTGTCACATTTTGGCAATTCTCACATTGTTTTTTAGACATAATGCTATTGCACACTTAATATACTACAGTATAGTGTAAACATAATATTTTTATACGCACTGGGAAACAAAAAAAAAAAATCGTGTGACTCGCTTTATTGCGGTGTTCTGGAATCTAACCCGCAATATCTCCGAGGTATTCCTGTATTAAGAATATCAACATTCAGATTTCATCCCAGAGAAGTAATTCTAAACAAGACATCGTTTGTTTTGGAATACGAGAGAATTATCTCAACAGTGTAAAAGTCTAGTTATTTAATATCTACAGCTTATCTATTCGCACAACTGATAATCCCTTTGGTTGGTGATAAGTTTTAAATCATTGTTAGACTACAGTTTATGCAACAATGTAAAGGTATTCATTAAACTCAAGATTTATTAATTGACTTTTACTAATCGATCGTCTTACCAACAAAACGAAGTGTGAATTGCATTCTAATGTAGATTATTCCGTGTTTGCCGGAATACACGAACCTATGTTTAAACATTGTTTTATTTTTTCTCTAATTATTCGGTTGTCTGTCGGAAACTAATTGTTGACTGAACAGCCTTGACTTCATATTAAAAACCAATAACATAGTCTACCGCATAGTCTACGACAAATGTTAAATGTTTTCCGTTAGCTGGTTCTTATTTTTAAAATCGCCTTTTGAGCCATATTAAATCGTATTATATTGTGTAATCAAACAAAGATAAGTAAATATTTTAATGTTTATTTTCTGGCTTCTTAGACTCTTCGTTAGAAATGTGTATTTAAGTACTACTTTAAATTTTGTAATACTGAGAAGAATCCGAATTTTGTAAATTTTATATTTAGCTTTCAGACATTTATAAAGGACGCACAACGAGGAAAATAACAAATTCATACAAAGTTAGTGGCGACTGAGAAGAAGCCATTTTGAAGTTGCGCAATATTCCGTGGAAGGGTAATTTTAAAATGAATCTCGCGAAATTTTGCATAAAATCTGTTAAAGCCAATATGACAATCTAATGTGTTTCACTCATGGTTACTTTTACTTTTAATTACAGAGTAGCAGTTCGTGAATATAATCAAATATTGTCATTACATCGAGTATTGTCAAAGACTTCCCATTTTTGAAAAGGTGACATCGAATGATGACGCTCTGATTGCATGAAATCGATTAAATCGGTTCAAACGTTATCGCGCTGTGACAGGCGAAAATAATCGTTACGTATGATACATCAAAATTCGCACCATAATAAAATATGACAGTAGGTTAATAATATAATCGGGGGGCCCTAGGAAGCATCGCTCGAAAAGGGAACAAACCTTTGGGCAAACAACACATTTTATTATTTTTGTACAAAATATATTAAATTATTCTTGTGTAATAAGTTACAGAAATATACATCAAACATTCTATTTACAAACAACAATCTAATATTGTCAATATACACAAACTAAAGAAAATAAATGCAATTATGAATAGCGTGGAACTACATCGGACTAGCAAATTCATTGGATTACACGGCGTTTCTCAAACCCAGCCAGGCGATGTTGCACGGCTCTGAGTTTCGTTTAAAGCAGTAATTACACAATAAGGATAATTTTAAGTAGAAAAGTTTCATTTCTTCCATGAGAAACTCACTGTTCACAATCCAAAATACCATTACATTTATTATAAAATCATTGGTCGAATAGCAAAGTATATTTTATTTAACCTCTGAGTGTTGGGAATATTCTTCCGCATGGTTCTAAATCTAATTTGCATTATTTTTTTTTACAGAATTTCGTCCGAATAAAAGTTTTTGTGCTATTAGAAAGGGAATGTGGGAATGTTGGAATGGTGTGTCTCGCACGATAATTTGGTATTACAAATGTAGATTGCAATTTTAACGTAGATGGTCTGTAGCAAGTTTCGTCACAATCTACTGGCACAGAACATATTTTATTTCATACAGTCAACAAAGAACATCCGGCCGAGGTCGATGGATTTTTAAGGGTGATGAAAATCCGTAGCACAACTTCCTTCAGAGGAGAAGTAAAGCCAGAGGTCCCATGTCGTAGATTTACGGCATGTAAAAGAACCTTGCGAGCATGATACGAGATGTTTCGTAAGCAAAATTCAGAGGCCATTTCTCACCCAAGTCTCTCCTGATTCACTGCTAGATGGCTCTGGCAGTCAAATCAGGATTGAGTAGAAATTGTGTATTCACTCACTACGCTTCAATGCACGCTTCAAAGACTAAGAAACCTCCGAAAAGGAGGCGGCAATGACCCATTACTGGGTTAAGCTACAAATAGAAACAAAGGACGTGAATTCCTTCATGAACAGTAACTTTTTGACGATACCTAAAGCGTGTACATTTAGATCCTAAAACAGAGAACCAGGTTATCGTTGACACATAAGTGCCGCCCCCGTCAGCTGAGTATGCACAATTATATTTAGTCTCATATTTTCCTTGAATTCTTCCCATTTTCAGTTAAAACAATACATTTCTGAGATCTATACACATTTTTGTGTTGGACGAAGCTCATGTAGGGTCATCCGGTAACGTTGCAATTCACAGTCAAATATTCCAGCCATCTTCAGGGTTCGGTGAAGATAATTCTTTTTTATACCGGTAAAAACACATTTTTTTTTTATTTTCGTGCCTTTTCAATATTACAACTAATTTTCCAATGTCCAAAGTCGATGCTAAAAGCATAATTAACCAGTCCTCAAAAACACAGTGGGGAGGTTTATGTGAGTAATGTTAACTAACTGCGTATACGTTTGAGAAAGAGATTCCACACATTGGCTAGTACACATTAATATTGCCACAGACCAAGTGGTCTTCAACTTCGTATCTGGTCACTTCGGTTCCAGGATGCCGAACGATGTCGGCCGACAAACATCCTGCAACAAAAGAACGCGTTGGGACTTTACAACGAATCAAGTCTAACCCGGTGTCCTACGTGGGCGATTAAATGCGAGCCGTGCGAGTTGCGTGGGTGAAGCGGAAATATCAAACTGGCTGTTTGTGTGGCGCTGTCCTAGGTTACAGCGAAGCGGTCGGCGGCCAAAATCCAAGATCAAATATTTCGATATTTTCGCGCAAGTCGCTGCGCTGGCCAGTAAGGCGCATGCGGAAGGAAGATCTGACTGCAGTACAGGGAAGACCGTGTGCTTCTATTGCAGTCTCTCACGTAGGACACAACAAGCGATTCCCTTATGTCATATGACACCCCATGCTGCTTATGCAGCTCGCTTCTTATCGCTCACGTAGGACATTGCCTAATGTCTCTGCCGATTCTATAGAATGTCTAGCTTAACGCGGAACCATGAAGCTAATCAGCAGCGAGCGAATTACGGGGAAGCGAGTTGTCCACAACGCAAACCATGGCCATGCTAGTGGGTCGGTTTCGAGTTACGTGGACATTCCGTATTGTTAATACCATCCTTTCAACCTTTGTCCATTGTCTGTAATCTTGAAAACAGCACAGCGTCTTAAAAATTTGATCTACTTTTTATGTTGGTCTTCAGGAGGGTAACGCAAAGTGCACTTACAGATAAATATCGACGTTTCGGAGAACAAGTCAACACTGCGTCACGACACAGAAGAGCAACTTCGACAAAGTGTTAAAAAAGAGATTGCTTGCCTACTCAATTGGATCCATTAAAAATATTTAATAATTAACTGTACTATAGCGTCAGATAATCTCCTTAGGTTGCAACAAATTAAAATAAAAAATTTACTCTACATATTTCTGATGATGGTAATTAACATCACTGGATTTATGTTTTGTCCATCACCTGGTATTTTGAAGATAACACGAAGTTTGGGTCTTTCCAGAGGGCCAAAATGAATAACTACTTTCCACCTTTACACTAGAAGACGAAATCAGATCCAATTTCCTGGACGTTTTCATTAGATGCGTCGCATAATGAACGCCCGAAAGGCAGAAAACGTACATACAAAATTTAACAGGTAACTCGGCGGACAAAATCCTAGCGCTTCGTTCATTCGTATGAAATTCCATTTATGGAAACTGCCGAATAATGGGATAGCATAACTGCTTACGACATGTACATTAAATTCCTGCATCTGTTAATGGCAAGTTTATGTAAATTTGCATATAATGACTAGTTCCTTTAGATAGTAAAGTATGTTCTGAAGTCTTAATCTGGGGCAACACGGGTCTGGTTCTGAATAGACAATAAATTCACTCATATATGCAAAATGGGCCATGGCAATAAGACCAAAAATGTATCTTCAGTCAACTTACCATTAGCAGATTGTTCACGGCTTTCATCCTTTGTATCTTCGAGTCGACAGCAGATTTATAAAGCAGTATAATTCTTCTCTAATCAATAAATAATACACGAACAAATATAAATCGAGGTTAACCAAGAAACAGCGTTTCTGTTTCCACTACCCTGACGTCAATTTCCTGTGATCGTCTTTCTTGTCCCCACACGAAGATGAATTTCCGACTTTGATGTTTCTGTTGTTCTTGCGATTTGCATCCGGGTACAAGAATTTGTCAATCACTTGACGTACTGTTGAATGCCTTCGATCCAGAGGGTTTGGGTACATTGCTGAGCGTCACCACACACACACACACGGCTTCCTATTGGTGCAAATAGTTTTCTGAATTGCTTTTATAGTCTCCACACATCATCACAAACGCTGCCTCAAGACATTTTGATCGTGCAGATAAAAACAAGAGGCGGTGTGAGAAGAGCAACTGACGTCAGCGACCTTGGTCTCCAACCGTTTTGTGCAACGTCACTCGGCGCTGGCAACGGGGGATACTCTCAATTTCATGTGAGTAGATGTAAACACCGGTTGTCTGAAATAGACTAGGCAGCCTCAGAGCTTACTGGTTCGCTCGGCCGCCATGTTTGGTATTTCCAATAAATAATATTTAGACCGAAGAGCGATGAAATGGCAGGAGGTTGGTGAAAAGTGTTAGAGGAGATTCACAGTTTATCTCTTCGCCAGGGTGACCAATCAAGGCGCCATGAAAACTTTCGAGTGACTGAGGTACGGAAGCACTGGATATAGGCAGTTGTCTTCCCACCTCGGCCGCATTATTCTCGAGAAACAGTCCACATCACGCACTGGACAGGAGGCAAGGTAGATATTAGAACGACGTATTCTGGCTGGCTGGCTATACACATCACGAGAGATAAATGCAAGGTCACAGTTGTTTTGTCGACATTAGAAACCGCGTTCTTCGCTTAATATAAAGCTAAAAGAACACCCAAAAATCTCAGCAAGAATCGAACCCTGGTCGTCCAGCCCCTCCTCCACCAACTGAATTACTCCGGTGGATTCTTTCTAGAAATAGCTTGCACGTAAAATCTCTTTCGTCTGTATTGCTCTTTGTCGTCAGTAAGGTCACTATCGGCATTGTATCGAGTCAATAAATGACTTGTATGTAGCACAGAATGGTGTGATACTGTGGAGGGGAAGACTGTAACCTGTTTCCCAAGGACTCGAGTTATCAGCCGGTAAGACCGCGGGAAACCACTGATGTTACCAGCAGACTGATTACTAACTAGTACCACTACTCCAGTCAGTAGTGACATGGGAATCCCAGAACGTTTTAAGTTGAAAGATGAAAGGTTAACAACTTTGGGAACTTACATAAAACAAAACATTTGTAGTTACATTTATGCTTCAAAAGGTTATGAAAAATGCAAAGTTCTTCCTATATATGGGTAATTCCAACGCCATGAATACGCATTCGGGTTGTAGTACAGCGCCACGCAATCTTAACCTCGGTAGTAGATGGCGCTTTCACCTAAGGCAGGGGTCGGCAAACATTTTTTCTAAAGGGCCAAATAGTAGATATTTTAGGCTCTGCGGGCCAAGAGGCAAACTCGAGGATATTTATATAGGTAAGCCTACTTATGTAACAAGAAAAAACTAAGTTTTAACAAATTTATTGAACAAAATGTAACGTAATAATAATAAGTAGACTACAATTGTTTGAAATACAGCTCTACTAATGAGAAGAATGGAATTGCCTGTTTATGAGATAACATTTCACCAAACTGAGGTTTAAATTCAGTAATCCCTATCATCAATAGGGATTACTGGGAAAGCTCAGTCAGTATAGTGACTAGCTACGGGCTGGACGACCGGGGTTCGATCCCCGACGGGGGCAGAGGATTTTTCCTCTAGCCTCAGGTCAAGGAAGAGAGGAGCTATACCTCCACTCAGCCGAAACGCCTACATGGCGTATAGTGGGACAAACTTTACTTTACTTTTAATCCCTATCATCAAAATTGATTGTAAATATTCATCCTTTAATGCTGACCTGTATTGAAATTTTACATATTTCATCTTTGAAAATGTCTTTTCACACATTCAGGTGCTGCACAATACAGATATAAATCCCCGAGCATATGATCTTAATTGACCGTATTCATCGCTTGGAAGACATTTATAGAATTCTTTCTCTCAACTGCTCAACTCGGCCGTTTCGTTATAGTGCGTACTTTGAAATTTCAAAGAATCTAAATATGTAAAATCCGTTCTTAGCTCGCGGGCCGTACAAAAAGAGGCGGCGGGCCCGATTTGGCTCGCGGGCCGTAGTTTGTCGACCCCTGACCTAAGGCAAAAACATATTTCAGATGTGAATCTCACTTTTTTCTATGAACGTAAGAGAAAGACTTTCGGTAAACAAACCAACAAATAAATCGTGTACGTCTGCCTTATGGAATTTCAATAAGTCAAAACGATGTGAAAGTTTCAATTAAAAAGCATCGTTGCTAGTTTATTTGATAATTTAGAGAAACTAAAATTCGCGTCGGCGCCAGTCTGTCTTTATTTTACAAAAGAATAGTTTTACCAAGAGTTGCGTGATCCTCCTACAGGACAACATACTTCAGGATTCAATGTTCATCTGTGCAGAAGACGACTTCGTGTCTTCGTAACTTGTGTGGCGGGAACCTTGAAATTACGCCTGTCCCTAAGGGCCAAGCCAGAACAACGTGTAGAGGACGTGAAGACAAATATCCATACATTGTCGCTAGCAACACTAGACACCTTCACGGCCCGACCGTCTTCGCGTTCTATAATAATTTTTTGTGACCGAGTGGACTCCAGGGTCAACACGGACGAAAAGGCAAAAAATTGTTTATAGCAGAACAGCATTGAGGCAAATCCATTGCACATTGTTACTCTTGGAAACAAACGCAAAATACGTACACGAAGGAACAAAAGCTTGTTAATGTCGGTGACGTCAGTGCGTGAGAAAATATAACGCAGTAATAGAAGAATGATGGGGCATCCCTACGCGGGAAATGGGCATAGGCAACGAGGGTCACCGGATAATATACATATGTGTGCTTAATGTTCTGGCTTCTTTGAAACCGTGGGAAGAAATACGGTGCGTCAGATGTAAAGTGGTGATTTGTGTGGAAATGGCGCTTCGAAAATTCAACGACGTTTTCATGTTAACCTTCTGAAACCTGAGGCTCGTCTCGATAATATAAAAAAAATCGGGTTGTAACGAAAAATAAAAACAACGCGTCTCGATTAAAAATATCAATTGGTTAATGCTCTTTAGGGAAATTATCGCTATTTATTCTGAGAATCATCACAAATTTTGTCTGCTAGAAAAGTGTGGAATTATTGAAAGCCAAAAAAGGGTGGGATACATAGATACCATCGGACTAAAGGGTGAAGTGCGAAATTATAAACATGGAGACGCAATTCTCCAATTAAAATAGGTTTTACCATGAAGAAGAAGATTAATATGAAATAATGTAACTGGAGGATTCGGAATTTGATTAGTCTTTTGCAAGTTTCATTGAATACAATTTTGTTTAGGGGAGGGGACATTAAAGAATAACAAATTGACACCCAATTCACGATTTAAGACAAATATTTGTATCAATGACACCGACAAAATTCCCTTACACTCTTACTTCACAATGAAATATATTGTAGCATTCATCGTATTAATTATAATTCTATCAATTTCGTCATTAAAAGAACTATACATCTTTCGGCGAATTGTATTTTTAATTATTTTGGATTTAGGAAAAAACTTTGATGTTTTAATTTAACCTGTCAGGTAGCGGAATTCTTAAATAAGGAAAAATTACTCTAAAATAGAGCACTACAGGTCAAAAAGACTAAACCATTATACTTAAGAAGAAATAGATTACAGAGGTGATTTTTAAATTACAATTTTTTGTTTCCTAAAAACGAATATGTCAGATGATAGTTTGAGACTTCTACGACAAGACATTTATATCTCACACATTAAATAACGAAATACTTTAACACTGCTGCGTCAGTTACAGAGACGCGGTTCACTGCACTTGAAGCGAAGATCGATTAATTAATTCATCACGTGTAACCTTCCTGAATGAAAGCAAGAGTTGTCTCACACGGAATACAGAGCACGTACCTGTGCCAGCCAAGTGCGTAATTAAGGAAAAATTTCTTGCGAAAGTACCACGGTGGTTTCGCCTTGACTACTGTGGCCAGTCTTAACCCACCAGACTGGAAGAGGAGGACGGACAAACATCCATGCCTTGAGTGGGACTCGAACTCACGGTCCCAGCGACCAGGCGTACGAGAACCATGCCTCAGATCGCGTGGCCACTGCGCTGGCCATCGGTGATTCAGATCTACGAAAAAGAACATACGCAGGCTTAATCACCGGGTGCCACGGTGACCATCATCGAATTCGAAATTTCATCATCATCATCATCATCATCATCATCATCATGAGCAGCAAGGGTTAAACCCAGCGGTTCGTTCCGATCTCATGTAATCATGTACACAACTAGGATTGGTCCTTCCAGTGTTTCCTTGGGCGCCCGACACTCCTTTCGGTCGGTCGGCAATGCAGTAGACGTTTAGGAATATGACAGTCGTCCATTCTACACAAATGTTCTGAGCTGTCATTTCTGTGTTGGTTTATTTTGTAAGTTAATTTAAAGATCCTCAATTCTTGTCTATTGTCCTCACTTCTCTTCCGGCCCGGAAGTGTACAGCCCGCAAAATGCCGCAGAAATTTAATTTCAGCTGCTTCGGTTTTTTCGTTTGTGACTTTGTTAAAGTCCAATTCTTGGATTCGTCAAGTAACGCAGGAACTGCCATTTATCTTATAAAATTTTAATGCGTGTTCTTTTACTTTTTGCTTTGAGACATTTTATATTCTTCCACGTATGTAGTGATAGTCATTTATTTAATTGATGGTGTCATTGTATTTATAGTATGAAATGTTATAGCCCAGGTACTCAAAATAATTAACTTGTTCTATGGTTTCGTTATCAATAATACTTTTAGCTCGGAATGGGTCGGCAGCCCGAAAATCTATTAATTTTGTTTTGGGAATTGATATTTCTAAGTAATACATCTTAGATATCATGCTAAATTGATTTACTGCAACTTATTATCTGAATCTCATACCACAACCTGATCGTCGGCAAATTGTAAAGTATCGTATAGGGAAATGTTTATTGGAAAATGTGAACTTAATTTCGTTTTCCACTCTTGAACAATTGACTCTAAATGAATATTAAAAAGTTACGGTCAGATCGGGCGTCCTTGTCTTACTCCGCAATTAATTGTTTCCATTTCATTATCCTTCGTTTACGCCCAATGTTTCAATCATTATTTTATTAGCCTATAAAACCGCCATGGTGGTCTAGCGGTTAGAACGCTGGCCTTGTCATCCTGGGGTCTCGGGTTCGATTCCCGGCGGTGCCCGAATTTATAACTTGTGTTGGGCAAGGCCGTGGTCTAGGCAACACGGAGTTTTCCTCCGGGGGCTTCCCCGGTTTCTCCGTGGCATCCCAACAATTACTCCATTCACACACAGAAGAAGGCAATGGCAAACCACTTCTGGATCATCTGCCAAGAACGTATATGAACAGGTCCCAGTCCGAGAAAAGGATGGAAGGATCCTGTTCATATGAACCTGTCGTCAGACAGAACACTAAATAAAATATAAATAGCCTATAAAAATCGCGTAGTTCTGATGAGGTGTTGTAAATCGTTTTCCTTCATCGTTTGCGAAAAGTTATTTTTTACATTCACCTGATCGAAGGCTTGTTTATAATCAATAAAAACTAAATATGGATGAAAATTAAATTCTGTTC